CCCCAAAACCCCAAAACCCCAAAACCCCAAAACCCCAAAACCCCAAAAAAATAAAAAATTGTTGAATTTTATTCAAAATGGCTCAAAACTCCATTCCTCCTTCAAAACCCTCCATCATCGATCCCATCACCGGCAATTATATGTTGAATTGAAGAATGGCCGGGAGATATGTGGCGAAGGATAGGTTTTGGAGGGAAGGAGTTGATAGGAAGATATAAATTCTGGATCTAAAAGAAATGAGAATGGGGTATGGCGTTCAAGATCTGTAAAGTCTGTTCAGAGGGGTTATAATGATCATTTTTTACCGAATATGGATTATTCTAATGGTAAGCATATTTATAACATATAGATGGTACTATTTCAGTAGCAGGAAAACCATCGAGGAAGATGGACATGTATAGCAGATTCAAAATGTTCCATTCGAGGAGCAAGAATAACTCTATTTCCAACGAACTTGCTACACCCTCTGAGTATAATAACCAGGAAAGAAGTCTTGCAACTCATGATATTAAAGGAGCATCTCCCTCTAAGAAGAATTTTGATAAGAATATTTTCATTGATAGAGGTAGCATCAAGGAAGTCTTTGGGCAGAAGCCAGGTAACTATCAAGGTTACAAAGCTGATAGGAACAATGGAGGTACTTTTAACCCATACCCTGCTAATAAAATGTTCGTCGATGACCTTAACTCTTATGCTAAGCATAAACTCAAGAATAAGCAAAATGATATGAAGAGACAGGATAATTTGAGACTTTTAGAAAGCAGATCTCAAGATGGAAGAAATATTTCAGCATTGGGGACAAATAGAGCCTCTTTTCAAAACCAGAATATGAGAATTATTGATAGGGGTATCTTTCCTCCTCAGGATGTTTCAAAAACAATTAAAGATATTAAAGAGAGACATAATTCGGATGAGAGAGATGGAAGTGATAAAAGGTTTGAACTAAATAGAACTGAAAATACGAATGATTTCAAAAGAGCTATACCAAAACAGTAAAAACATGAATCTAACATTAAACCTAGACAAACCACCAAAATGCCTTTACTAAAGCTCAAAAACATTAAAAAAATCAATCCCATCGGACTCAAAATCCCCAAAAATCTCTACCAAAGATCCTCCACAGTACCCCCTCTCTCTACCCCTCTAGGTCCAATCACTCATCTCGCACCCCACCACCATCTCTATTCCCTCTTCCCACCCCTATCTCCCACAAACCCGCCAAAACGACCAGTAAGCCATCTTTCCCCCTCTGGTTCATTCCCAATCCATCTCTTAACAATACCATACACCTACCTTCCATCAATCGTCCAAACCTATTCCTAAATCTCTCACCGGCTAAATGTCCCAATAACCCCTGATATCCCAACTAGAATCTCCAAAAATACAACTCTTTCAGAAGCCCTGCCCAGTTTCTTCGCTTCAAAGTAAGATTTCCCAGTGTGATGGATAGCCATAATGACAAGATTTTGAAGATCCTAAAAAAGGAGAGGGTACTTAAGAGGGGATTTTAGAGATTTTGAAGGGAAATTTAATAGCCAAATAGGAGAAGTTGAATAACTGGGGTTTTGGGGTTTTGGGGTTTTGGGGTTTTGGGG